TACAATTCCCACCTTTTTCTACCCCGATTGAATAATGAGGACACTTTTTTTTTTTTGTATTTTGAAATTCACTATTTGTTTCGTTCTATGCATTATACTTGAGAGTTTGAGCCGGCCTGACTGAAACTTTAACTACGAATACTTAATGTTATAGGAAAAACAAGAAAGAAAAAAAAGACAAGTAGACTAAACTATTGTAGGAGTGGCTCGCGTGAGTTACGTGATTAACAAGAAAGTTTCATAACGACAATAAAGTGTTCTTTGTCTAAAGGAAGCTCTTTGCATTCCAATTAAATCTTCTTCTTCTTTTCTACAAGAAGATCAAATCTAACTAACTCATAAGTATCACAATTAAAATATCTGAACATTTTTTACTTTTAACTTTCTGAAAGTCAAACCAAATAGATCAAAAGCATACATCTCTAATATACTAGTAGTACTAAAGAACACGAGGAAAATCGTGTGATAAATGCATGAAACGATCGTTGTAGCAAAGTTCGATAGTTAAAGTTCCAACCACATAAAGTGTAAAAATAAACAATACCCAAAATGATTATCCAAGATCGAGGTCTCTACTTTTGTCAAGATCGACGTCTCTACTTTTGTCAAGATCGACGTCTGGTCTACTCTTTTTATTTTTTCAAGATCGATGTCTGCTCATTTACATAAACTCTTTGTCTCATCAAACAAAGATCCTCTATCTAAAAGGTGAGTAGAATCGATGGAGAAGCCAAAGTTCAAGACTGTCCAAGAGGTGGTTGCATCCGGCGAAAGACTACCAGAAAGATATCTCCAAACACCCACTGGTGACGATGAAGTTCAACCTCTTAACGGTTTGGTGCCGGAGATGGATATTCCGACTATTGATCTCAGTCTTCTCCTCTCTTCTTCTGAAGACGGTCGAAAAGAGTTGAGTAAACTTCACTCAGCGCTCTCTAAATGGGGAGTTGTTCAGGTTTGACCCTCTTAGTGATCATCAGAAATCATGTAATTCTGTAAAAGTTCCAGTTAAATTGATTTCTTATTGAAATAGGTGATGAATCATGGAATTACAGAAGCGTTTCTCGACGAAATTTACAAGCTAACCAAGCAGTTCTTTGCGCTTCCAACGGAAGAGAAACAGAAGTACGCGAGAGATATTGGTAATGTCCAAGGATATGGAAACGACATGATTCTTGCGGATGATCAAATTCTCGATTGGATCGACCGTTTGTTTCTCACTACTTACCCTGACGATCAGCGACAACTTAAATTCTGGCCTCAAGTTCCAGTCGGATTCAAGTATACTCTCTATACCTCTCAATTTCAACAGCATATTGGTTCATCAACTTCTTCTTTTTTGAACATCTGATTTATTGATCACAAAAGTTACAATCTCATATGAGATAATGTTGAATACAAGATGGTGGAACATTATATATACAACAAGACATATATTGATCGATTTTACTAAAAGTCTAAAAGGTTCATTAACTTTTAGGTGGTTTTAGACAAACGTTTTTTTTTTTCAGGGAAACTTTGCATGAATACACAATGAAGCAAAAGCCAGTGATTGAGCAATTCTTCAAGGCCGTGGCTAGATCGTTGGAATTGGAAGAGAGTTGTTTTCTTGAGATGCATGGACAAAATGCTAGAATTGATACAAGATTCAACATGTATCCTCCATGTCCTAGACCGGACAAGGTTATTGGGGCTAAACCGCATGGTGATGGCTCGGCTTTCACTCTTCTCTTACCGGACAAAAATGTGGAAGGCCTTCAGTTCCTCAAAGATGGGAAGTGGTATAAAGCTCCGATAGTCCCTGATACAATTCTTATCAATGTTGGAGATCTCATGGAGGTAATCAATCCACAATCATGAACATTATGTCATGTTTATCATTATAGACAAAGCCATTTTGACATCTTATTTGGTGTAGAATTGACATAATGGCTTTTGTGTTCAGATAATGAGCAATGGAATATATAAGAGCCCTGTTCATAGAGTGGTGACTAACAAAGAAAGTGAAAGGATATCTGTGGCAACGTTTTGCATTCCGAGTCCAGACAAAGAGATTCAACCTGTAGAGGGGCTTGTGTCTGAGACAAGACCAAGATTGTATAAAACGGTTAAGAAGTATGTTGAGGTCTACTTCGATTCTTATCAACAAGGTCGAAGACCTATTGAAGCTGCCCTAATCTAAAAGGAGATTTTCAATTTCCTTTTCGATTACACAAATAAATTTGTTTCTTTCGTTACTGATATTTGAAAGGGAAATTCCATAAAAATGTTCCAACTAAATTCGGATAAAATTTTTAATACCTAAACTTTTCCCTTACCCAATTTAATACTTCAGCTAATCATTTTGATCATGTTTAATATATATATATCAACCTTTGTGTTATCTTTTTATTTTATTAATAATATAATCTTAAAATTTTAATAAAAATAGTAATTAATGTTTTTAAAACTATAAAACCCCCAAAAATCGAAAAAAGTTCTTGGAAAAATTCTAAAAAATTATAAATTTGAAAAACAATAATAATTAAATTCTATATAAAAGGTTAAATTATAGTTTTACTATTTATTTGAAACATAATACCATTGATGTGACATAACTATAATTTCCAAGATTAAACCAACATTCGTCGATTAAATTTTCATACATGTCAAATATTTAGTTTTTCCAATATCTATTTTTCTCAAAACATTGAACTGCAAATCCATAAAACTTAACATTAACTCAAAACCAGTTTGTTGGGCTAAATAACATGGTCCATATAGAGAGTATATTAATGGTTTTAGTATGGCATTCGGTTCGAGAATGACCGACATGTTGAAATCTCCCATCGCATTGTAGGACTAGGACCTTAAGTAATTTAAAGGAACATATACAAATTTGTTTTGGTTGTGAATCTATATACTATCAATTGAGAAACACATTGTTTCAATCCAAGTGTTTCTTGTTATGGAAATCTAACAGGGATTGGACTTCGTAAAACCCATGTAAAGCCCATGCTTGTACTCTTTAATAACATCATGCCTGGCCTAAAAAGATAGAAAATATGTAACTAAAAGTTTTTCGGATCACTTGCTAAAAGAACCAAGAAAAGTCTTATAAAGTCAACTAACAAAGGACGTGTGATTAAACATCAGGAAGTCCAACGTATCTGTCCTTTTCATTCTTGACTTAGTCCTACGACAATTCCACTTGCTCTTTTTTGTCTCCACTTGAATTTTTTTTTCCTTTCTTCTGGTTTATTTTTGTTTAATCATTTACCTTCTCTGCTCAACACAACCCAACCACAG